CACCCGCGCCACCCTGCCTCAGGGAGTCAGTTGAGAGGGTGCGCAAAACCTTACCAAAACTGGCACGGGTCACGCGCCGCTCGGGAGCCGCGGCGCAGCCTCCAGAGACTGCAACGACAGCGAGCATACGCGCACGCGACTAAGCAGCTAACTCGAGGGGTTTCCTCAATCAACCGAACGCACTAGGCTGGCGAAAAAACCGGGGCGCGGGATTAGACATTAGTGCGTGACCGCCTAGTCCGCGCGAGGGTGGGGGCCTCTCTGGGGCCACACGCGCCGCGCGGGCTGCACGGGGTGAGGGGTGAGGCCACAGACTCGGCTGATCGCGACGCGGCGCTGCGCGCGCGGCGAGTGGCAGCACACGCAAAGCGGTGCACCTGCGTGCTCTGGCGCGCAGGTGCCCAGGTGCGCTCGCTGGCGCCACGACCCCGCGATCTGCGCGCTCTTCCCAGAGCACACATGTCGTGTGTGCACGAGCGAGTGAGTGGCGTGTCTTTTGATGACTTTTTGCGCTCGCCATCGGTCCTTACCAGCGCGTTCACCCTCCACGTCTGTGTGCGCTGCAGAGCAGCTGAGGCTGTGTCACGAGGCTACCAGACGGAGACAGGGACACATAGAAGTTCATGCTGGCTCTTGATGTGCCGCTGCACTGTCGCCGCGCGAAGCTACAGCGCGTGGCGCACGGCGCCGCCTCGCCGCGCGGCCGGCCAGGCGCGGCGTGCGGATGGGAGGAGGCCGGCCGTCGTGACTGACGACCCGCCGACGGAGCGGTGAGGGCGTCCGCTGGGCTCGCTCGGCGCCGCGCGGCTCGACGGGCGGCCCGTCCGCCGTGCGGCGGCCGGAAGGCGCGCCGACACGCTCGCCGTCTCGCCGCACGCGCCGGCGAGGGGCGCCTCGGCCGCGCGGGTGCGCTGTCGGTGGCAGCGCGGTGCTCGACGGCGGTGCCAGCCTCGAGAAAGGTGCGCGAGCCGCGCCTGCGCGCGTGCGGCGGGCCGTGGGGGTCGGTGCGGCTGCGCCGGGGCAGCGAACGGCCTGCTGGAAAGGCCGTGAGAGGCGCTCACCACCGGGCGCTCGACGCCAAAGAAAGCGGCGGCCGCTGAGCCAGATCACGGTCGAGCGCGTCGAACGAACCTGTCCGGAGCGCAGCGGCCGTGACCGTGGCGGTCAGGAGGCATGCACACATACGCGGACCGTCGCGGTACGAGGCAGGCATCGGCGGCGCGACCCTCGACATGCGAAGATGTACTCTCGCCCCGCGAGGTCTCTTGGGTCGTGCGCGGGTGGAAAGATGAAGAATTCTTAAGATAGAAGCCTCTCTCACAGCACACTGGCACGACAAGGGCGCAGACTGGCGCGATGAAGAAAGGCGTCTACATTGTTTTTTTTCCTTTCTTTCCTCTGCCCGAGTTCATTCTTATAAAATGAACTCGGGGGCACGGGACGCGGCACAAACGGGGCACAAACGCCAGAGTTCATTTTTAGCAATACCAAACAACTCTAACACTCACACGTAATTTGGGGCCTGGAGCCCTGTTCACGCGCGCGCGAGACGTGCAGACTTCTATCTCGGAAAGAAAAACTTGCGCACCCGCGAAACGCACGTCCCTTTGAACCCTCCGTCTGCGCCGGGCACGATGATATCGGCCGCTCCCAGCGCCGCCGGCACGGCACGGCTGGTTGCCGCACTCGCAACGGCCGCCGTGCTCCTCGCCGCCGCCAGCCTGCTCGCTCAGCGCCAGCGGGCAGGCGCGATCCTCAACGGGAGGATTGCCGACGAGAGCCTTTACCAGAGCTACGTCTCCGTTCGTGAGGTTGTGGAGGAGGCGAGCGAGGGCAGCACCCTCGCGGCGATGGGCTCCGCCGGGACGGAGCAAAACTGCTGCGGCGGCGCCCTCGTCGCCCCAAACTGGATCCTGACCGCCGCGCACTGCCACAGCTGCTGGGAGGGCAGGTTCCCCTTCAAACGAGCAATCAATGGGGGGGTCGAGGCTATACCAGTCGACCCCGCCGCCGAGCCCGTCAAGGTGAAGGTTGCACTCGACAAGGACGGGCACTACGGGGGCACCCTCACCGTTGTTGAGGCGTACGAGCCCGAATGGGTGAGAGCTTGCTCGCCTCTAGCGAGCTCACTCAGACGCACGGGAGCCAACTCACACACCGCGGTGTCGCCTCCTTCCCTCCCTAGATTGGGCCTGAGCGGATGGATGCGGCGCTGCTGAAGCTCGACGGCGATGCGACGGCCTATGGCGCCGAGGTCGTCACCTTCTTTCCCGGCCCGATTGAGGCAGGTATGGAGACGGTGACTGTGGGGACCTCGCACGACCTGCCGGCAAACACGCCTGGCATCCCCGGTGCGACCATGAGAGGTCGGCCCGGGCAAGCCTTCGCCCCGTCCTCACGCGGCCGCACCCGCCGCACCAGGCACACCCCTCAAGTACTACGCCTCGACTGTCGTTGCGGCACGCTCGCTCATCTCGTGGCACACGCACTGCGAGGGGTTCAACCGTGGTGATTACTCGCCGGTGCACGATTTTTGCGTCGGCCCGCCGGTGAAGACCGAGCTGGGAGGCACCCTGCCCGGCGACGATCTGGTGGAGGGCGCGCGCACCGGGTACGGAGACTCTGGAGGGCCGCTCTACATTGGAGGCAAGTACGCTGGCATCGTCAAGGGCGGCGTCAAGGCGAGCCCCATCACGGGTGTCAACGACGTTGACAACGCGGAGACCGCCTACATTCGCTACACGGATGTCACCTTCCTGGCCCCGTGGATTGACCGCACGATCACGGCGAGCGAGCTCGCGGCGGTGTTTTGCAAGGTGCCATTTCTTTGCTGAACTTATTGAGTTGCAGAGCATGCAGGGCCGTCGTGGCTGGTGAGCATGCTGGTGAGCGAGAGCCGAGACGACGATTCGACGATTTCTCGTGACTCGTCGCCGTGACGGGACGCAACGAGCCCATTGGCGAGAGGCCCCTCTAGAGAGATATGGGCGCTGTGGCCTCATGCCTTGACACCGGGCCAGTGCTTGCACTTTGAATGCCGTGGGGCTCCTGCCGGGTGTGGAGATGTGCGAGGATCGGCGATCGCCCCCCCCTTGCCCCACCACTTGTGTGTGTGGAGAAATTTACCTTACCTTACCTTACCTTCTACCTTGACTCATGGCCCCGCGCCGCGCTGGGCTGCGGCAAAACAAATGAGTTTTGTATATACACCTACCGTTCTCCCATGAAATAGTACTTAGCACTGGCTCGCTACACCGGCCGCAGCTCCGCGTCCCCCAAGAGCGTCGACTCGTGGTCCGGCACCGCCGCCGCCCCGCCTCTGAGGCCGAGCCAGGGCGGCATGAGGCGGCGGAGCAGGGCTTGCCCGTGCCGCTGCGCGCCGCCGCCCGGCCAGCGGCTCGCCCCCTCGCCGAGCGCCCCCTCGCGCGGCGGCCGGCCCGAGTGCGCCCGCAGCACGAGCCAGCGCGTGAGTGCGGGCAGGTTGAGCCCGTCGGTCGCCGACACGCCCAGGACGGACCAGGACTGCTCCGTGACGCAATCGAGGTTGAGGAGGCGGCTGAGCGGCGCCCAGCCGAGCCGCTCGAGCTCCGCGCGGTCGCGCGGCTGCAGCGTGTCGCACTTGCTCGCCACCACCAGCAGAGGCAGGCCGCGCAGCCGCGGGTCGTCGAGCAGCATGTGCAGCGCCTGTGCGAGGGCGGGGAGGCCGGCCGGTGGAGTGTTCGCGCGGCGAGGCGGCGGTCCCGGTCGTCGACGTCTGCGGCGGCGCGCCTGCCGCGCCTCGGCGAGGCGGTCGCGGTCGGAGACGTCGATCAGGAAGAGGAGCGCGTCGCAGCCTGAGACGTGCCGCGCCCAGTCAAAACGGAAGCGCTGCCGGCCGCCCAGGTCCCATAGCGAGAGGTCGAGCCCGCTGTGCTGCACGCGCTGCACGACGAGGCCGATGGTCGGCTTGAGCGACGGCGCGGCGGCGAGCGGAGGCTCGGCCGCCAGCGCCCGAGCGAGAGCGGACTTGCCGCTCCCGTCGAGGCCCGCGAGCGCCACCTCGAGGCGCGAGCGGAGCAGCCAGCGAGATATGAGCCGCTGCACGACCGGCTGGGCCTCGCGGGCGACGGCGTTGCCCATCTCGTAGCCGGTTCACTCGCTTCTGGGCTGTAGCCTACCGCCGGGTACCCGGTACGCCGTCCTCCGCCGTGGAAGAGATGAACATACGGGCGACTTCACACCAGGATGGTGCAAGATAGGTCGCAACTGATCCAGTCCTCCCGGGGCGGGTGAAGTGGTCGCATATGGTCCCAGAAACACCCCCAGATAGCTTAAAAATCGAGATTTCGGCCTCAGAATTTTTTCTTGATTTTTGGGGCAGGCCGTCGACTCGGTCTTCGTCCATCTGCGTCCGGCACTAGCCCCGCCAAGTATGAGGCGTCTACGTAGACTCACATGCCATCGGCCCTCGCGCTCTGCTCGCCTCGGAGCACCCGCGAGACTCTCAGTGAGGCACGCTGTGAGCTCCCGTGCCGTTTCAGCCTGTTGGCTCGGTTTTGACACCGATTCCACCACCGTCATGAACCACTGCCTCGTCAATCACCGTATCACTCCTCGCTGTAGGCCCGGTGCTGCAGGTTGAGCACTGGCCGCGGTCGTGTGCCTTGCGGCTAGTGCTCAACCTCCGCCCGGAGGGCATATCTGCGAGTGCAGTGCGGCAAGCCGCGGGCGAGTCACTCCTTCGTGCGAATCGTCGCGTCTGGCTGCTGCTGCAGGTCCTCTCTCTGTAGGTTGCAGTACTCCCTCCATCTCGCGACGCGGCGCAAATGCGCGCTGACCTTGCCGTGTCGGCCACTTCCTGCGCGCCTCAGCGTCTGCTACTTCGTACTTGCAGGTGAAAGAGCCAGCTGTGGCGGGCTCGCTCAGGTGTCACGCGTGCCCTCCTCTTCTCGTGGCCGTTTTCTCCCTTGTCGACACACGCGCGGATCGAGTAAACAGCGAGCGTACACTCCACCGCGCGGCTACTCCTCACCCTCATCCCCAGACTCACTCTCAGACTCGGACGACGCTACATCCTCTCCCTCTCCCTCACAGTTGCTGTCAGGTCCGTCGGCGTCGTCGCTGTCATCGTCGCTGCTGCTGCTGCTACTGCTGCTGCTGCCGTCGCTGCCGTCGCCACCGCCGCCGCCGCCGCTCCCCGACCCTGCCTCTGCCATCTCGGCGTCCCCGCATGCCTCACCCATTTCGACATCACCTGTAGCCTCTCCCTCCGACGCCGAGCCGTCGCCCGCCGGCTCCCCAGCCGTGCCGGCCTCCGCCCTCGCGCCTGCTACGCCCCCCGCGCCCGCACCGCCCGCACCGCCCGCACCGCCTGCAGCGCCGGCGGCGCCCGAGCCGCTCGCCTCGGAGCCGCCCGCGCCGTCGTCTGACACCTCATCCTCGGGCTGAGGCGCCCAGCACTCGTCCAGGCCGTCCTCAGGCCGGGCGACGCCGCCGTGGCGGCCAGCGTGCGCGTCGCGCGCCTCTTTGCGTTTCCGCTCGGCGAGCGCAAGCAGGGGGCCTTGGTTGGCCTTCTCACCCTTCCCCAGCTTCCAGCCGCGGCCTGCCACGAGAGCCTTCAGCTCCGGGACGGTGAGGCGGTCCGCCCGCCGCCCGCCCCTCTGCCCGACTGCGGCGGCGATGTCCCAGCCCGCGCGCCGAAGCTTGACGCGCGCCGAGCGCAGGATGGCCGCGCTGTCGGGCTTCTGCTTGCGGCCGGCAGGGACGGCGCTGCGCTTCCGCTTCCTCGTCTTTGCGGCGACCCAGGGGCGCCGCTCCTTTGCCTTCAGCTTCAGGATGCGAGCCTCGAGCTTCGCCCGGGGCAGCATAAGCAGCGGCGTGAGCTCGCTCGCCGAGAGTTGCGCCGTCCGCGGCAGGTGCGGCTGCCCGTCTTGCGTGGCCGCCGCATTGCCAACCCCCGCAAAACGGCTGGCAAAGCCGGCCGTGCCCCACTCCAGCATGAGCTGGCTCGCCTCGTGCCCGTGCAGGTTCTCGTACCCCTTCTCATCCTTCACGTCGTGGCCGACGAGTAGGACGTAGGTCAGCTGCATGGCGGACTTGCGGCGCGGCTTCGACCGCCCCTGCTGGTTACCGGCATAGCCAGCCTCCGGAGGGGTCGGCTTGCACACGGTCCCATCGCACAGCGTCAGCTGCAGCTCGGCCACCGGGCAGAGGGTGGGCGAGGCGAGGCCGCCCTCGCCGCCGTGGATGGTGACACGCCCTGCCTGTGCGGCAACCGCTCGCGCAAGCACGTCGCCGGCGCTCGCCCTGCCGACAGGCGCGCCGGCGGGGTAGCATCGGACATAACCGGACTGGTGCACATCCGGGTTGGTGCGACCCTGCTCCAGATGCCTGTTTAACGCCCCTAGGCGCACAAAGACTCGATCGCAGCCGTGCATGCCGCCAGGCATGTCGCAGCATCGGTAGGACCGCGCTGTCGATCGCGCCACCGAGGCCTCCGAAGCGAGACGGCGGCGCTCCGCCGCCACCTTCGCCTGTGCCGCCTCCTTCCGCTCCGCCTTGGCCTTCGCCCGCGCCTCGCGGCCCCTGTCGCTTCGTGCGACGAGCTTCCGGTCCGCTTTGCCCTCGCGGCCCCTGTCGTCGTTTCGTGCGACGAGCTCGTGCTGCCCCGAGCTGCCCGCCGCCCCGCGGCTCGTCGAGGCGACGACCTGAGGCGCGGTGGGCGCGACCCTTCCGTCCGGGAAGAGGTCGGCCGAGGTCAGCCGCTCCCCCTCCCCCAGAAAGGACTGGCGGCGGAGTAGCAGCGCCTCGAACGACCCCGACCCGTCGTAGACGTACTCGCGGGCCGACATCAGGGTGAGGCGAGCGATCGTCTCCACGGCGAACTCCTCGCTGCCGGCGGGCCGGAAGAGCGCGACTGTGCGGCCGCCCTGCTTGGAGAGCACCTTCTCTAACCCGTGGAATAGGTCTGACGGCGTGCGGACGTCGTGGAGGCCGCTGCAGATGAGCCGGCGGACCTGGCTCCCGCTGACCGCAAACTCGCCGTCGAGAGTAGACTTATTCTGCCCAGCTTCGCCGATGAAGTGTCCGCGGACGACGATGCCGGTCGTCTCACCCAGGAAGGAGAGGCCGAGGGTGAAGGTCGCGCCCGCGTATGCGGCGGCTCCGTCAGTCTTGACCAAGGCGCTCGAGACGTGCGGGTTCTCAGATTTGTACTCCGAGAGCGCGATGTGCACTGCGGATAGGGTAGCAAAGCCGTCCTCTTTCGACGCGAGCATCATTGCATGTTTGTACTCGCAGACGAACTCTCCCTCGCCGTAACGATCGGCCTCGAAGCGCAGCGGGCGCCGGACAAGCATGCAGCCGTGCCAAGGAAATAGCGTTCGAGACACGGAC